GAGCAGCTAGGTGACACCTAGCTGCTACTTAATTTTTGGCTGCATAGATAAAATTTAAGTGGCCCGTAGTTAGGTATTACTTAAATATTGTTTTCCTTAAAATGAATGTATTCTTCCATGCTTATCAGTAATATTTATGATAATTGTCGGTGTTATCACTTATCACATGGTAAAATAAATTATTAAAATTTTATATTGACTTATCAGTTGTTTAATATCATTTTATATCAGAATATTAATTAATAATTATTATTAATTAATATTATACTTTCGAGTTTTAAATTGAATATTGTTTTTACTGACTGATATTTTTAATCTGAAACTTGGGAGTATCGACAATCGACATAATGGATTTAAATAGCAAAATTTTAAAACGTGAAAGAGGGCTAAATTGGGAACATGAAGAAAAAGTAATATTTTTTCATTGTTTCCAAAAGGTGGCTAACGTATTAGAAGATAGTAAAAAAGACTTCAATACAAACAGCAAAAAAAAAACATTGCATGGTTAAGTCTAATGAATAATTTCAATGCTCATTCCAATGTTAAAAAGGTACTAATAATAACTAATAAAAAATTACTAATATTATTTAAATATTTAATCTGTGTGCACATTTTTAATTTTCTAATTGAACTTATGCAATTTCTGACTTCTGTGTACATGCATAATATATATATATATATAAGTTACAAAAATGATAAAATTAAAAATTAAATATTAACAATATTTTAGTTAGGTAGGTAACAGAAAACAAAACTATTATTTAATATTAACCACCGCCTCCCAGCAATTTTACTCCATGAGTATTTTCAGAAAAATATTTGTTTGCATAACTGCCATTAAATATAAAACTATCGTGATAACTTCCTGGCCATCTAACTACCAAATCTAGGAATTCCATTGATGGTCCACAAATAGCCTAAATTAAATAAAACCAAAAATTGATGAATTAAATAGTATATAGTACGCAGTATCTATAATGTTGAAAAATTCTAATTTAAATTTAAAAATAGGTGTTTAATATGAATTCAATGATATAGGTACCTAATAACATTTTATACGAATAAGGATTCTGAGCGGAGGTGGTTTGTCAGCCTAAAATATTACTAAGTATATTCTTTGATATTATTGTGATAATAATAGTAAGTTGCATCCATCTCATATTTTTAATTTTTCAAACAGATGAAATTCAACGTTTTTTAAACATAGTTTTTGGTTTAAGAATTTTCAAAAACCAAAAATCTTCAATTTTAATATTTCGCAAAAATTAAAAACTGTTTCTATTGTAAAATATTGCGGTTATCATGTTGACCTCTAAAAAATATTTGTTCGGCCAACGGGTTCTCGATAAAGCGTAATTGAAAATCAAAAATTTCAAAAACAATTACGAGTTGTTTTACGCGAAAACAGTGAAGCGTAGGGTACATCATATACATAGGAGATTAATTGTTTATAATAATAAGTTTCATCCATCGTATATTTAAAATTTTTCAAAAAGACGAAATTCAACGTTTTTGAAACATAGTTTTTGGTTTATGAATTTTCGAAAACCAAAAATCTTCAATTTTAATATTTTGTAATTTACTTTACTATTAGGCATTAGTACTGCAGTAGATTAAGTTCATTTATACAGAGAAAATTTCTTTAGAAAATGTCATCGTATGTATAGAACATAATATGTGAATAAATAAATTACTTAATCAACAGTAAAGTCTAATTAAAAAAAGGAATAATACAATTATATAACGACAAGTTATAATATAGATTATAGGTTTGTTTAATGATAACATCAAATTAAACATTTACGGGATGGCTAGGTGATGGATATTGACCACTTAACTTTACGGATTACTTTATGTAGCAGCAGACCCATAACTATGACTATGCATTGCAAAGTTACGGGAATTCTCTTAGGTGTCACCTAAAATCCGTTAGGTGTTACTTAAAATGACTATGCATACGGCAAATAGTCTCTTATCTAACAGTCGTATGAATTATTGTACACACCATATTATTGTGTATATTATCGTGCATATTATTGTAAACTTTCTTTCATTAAATAAATATTGAAAAAAAGATTGGCGAGATTCGAACCCTCGACCTCCGAGCTATAGCACTGAAGCTTTAACCAACTAGGCCACAGACCTGATATACTAATCCTTTGATTCTTAACGTATATAGGCGAATGAAATACATAAAGTTATATTCCGCTGACCAAGACATGTTATCATATTATATCTGTTATCACTAACGTATCATAATATACCATATTATTGTGCATATTATTGTACTCGTCTCAGGTCAAATCATATGTATTATAATTATGAATATTTTACATGACGTGAGATGAAATTAACGGAATTACGGTATATCTTCCAAACTGAATTATACCTTCAACACCCCACCCTGATAAATTGGATCATTCTCACTTATATGAGATCATTATACCACCTTAGACAACAAAATAATTTTATTCATACCACTAAAATCATTATTAATTTAAATCACATCGTATTCAACTATCATGACATCAGCATCTATATTTTAATTAATCTTATCTCTGTTTTAATACTTCGCAAATAAGCACAAACAGTTCTATTCTTTGTTTTAATTAATTCAAAGAGTCTTTAACTACATAATGGATTCCCAATCATGTAAGAATATTTTATATTATATTATATTATGGTATGATACATTTTTTTTTATTCAGTCAATGTATAAATATTACATATCGTTTTAAAAAAATCGTTGGGAGAGAAATTAGAAGCAAGCAATGCAGGACAAAAAAGGGTAACTTCTGTAAAAATTATCACTTAGTTAATAGTTCAAAGTGGTTTGAAATTATAAGTCGTAAATTTGGTAAATGTGAAATAGTATGGTTAGTAGATGATATTGCAACATATTCAGGGTTTGATTTTGAAGTGTTATTACGCGAGTTGTATGAGAAAGTGTACAGGATTATTTGCGATAGTGGACATGATTTCTGGAAGAAGAAAATTACTAGAAAAAGCATAAAACATAACAAGCCGAATGTAAGTGACAATTATTGGAATAATTTAATTTATATGATATTAAAATTAAAATGTGAAGAAAATAATATTACAATAAATAAGTATGATTTACCTATAAAAACAAATAAAATTGTCAACAAAAATTTATTTTTAGATTCCTTAGGTATACATTACGATTATAACAAATTAACTATTCTGGAAAATCATCGCAATATCAATTTCGGGTCAAGTACAGCTGAAATTTGGTAGAATCTACTTTCTGGAGAGCAGCCTTCGGAAATGGAGAAGAGTTGAACCGTCATATGGATACATATGAAGATGATGAAGAGCTTAACCGTTATATATGGATACGTATGAATCTTGTACCCATGTGCTATGTTAAATAGTATGGCCCATGTCCTATGTGCGCATGGCCGCCGGCGCCCCAAGTAATTTCTGAGCATGGTGGGCCATACTATTTTCACATAATTTATCGTAAATGTTTACGTTTATAAAAATAGCTCTAATTTTCCGATTTCGATAAAATGTATACAGTTTTAATCAGTTAACCTCGTATAATAATATAAAAAGAAGAAATGTCTTGGGTCGCCGGCTGGCAAGTGGCCTACAAATGATATGACTTTATATAATGGGCCACTTGGTCGCCGGCGGTCTTGTTCAAAATATAAACTTGGCCGGTATTTTTTTTTGCTCATCATAATTTACACTATTATTGTTTCTGTGGCGATAAATCGTTTATTCAATGTCAGTCGTCTTTAGTTTTCGTTTTCGTTGTGACCGTTGTTGTTGTTGATAGTGTTCCATTCCTTTTGTGTTTTATTTTTCAAATAAAATTAAACTTTTTACAAAATGGATGAACATTTGATAATAGATTCATTGAATAAATTATACGACTCTTTTAGTGAAAGTATTGACGATAGTGATGCTGATCCGTTAATTCAAATTGAAAATGAAAGTAATAGTGAGTTTGAATCTTCCACTGAAGACGAGGACGAGGAGGACCATTCAGTCCATATTTTGTAGTATTTGTCCCTCAAAACCATTTGTGTGCCTCCAATGTTTCCAACATCATCAACAAAGATAAATCACATATATAATACTTAGTAATAATAATTTTTAATGTATAATGTTAATATAAAAGTAACTTTTTTCACATATTTTTAAGTAATAAAAAATCTTTTATAAGTTTAAATATTTCAATAGTTTTTTTTTTTCAAAATCATCTACTTTTTGTTGTCTACGCCACGGTAAAATCTATATTTTTCTATCTCCAGGCCGTATTAAAATAAAGTCCATTTAAGATAATGTGGAATTTTGTAGCCGGCGACCCAAGTGGCCCCTGAAAAATAATTCGGTTTGGGTCGCCAGCTACCCAATTGGCTTCACAATAAATAAAATCATTTGGGTTGCCGGCGTCCATGTGGCAGCCAACGTGTTAAAATATAATCTTTTACAATTTATACACATACTCTTATTATTATTATTATTTTAATTCCAAAATAATATTTATCGACATATGTTCACATTTCCTAGTATGTTAGCAGCTATAAGGTCTCTTCAAGCGCTGGATTTAAATCTATTGTAATCATAAATGGTATACATCTCCTATTGTCAGCGGAACGACCTGTTTCGACCGGTCTGTTGTCAACACGCACAGGCGAATTCCTGGAAATTGTACTGATAAACGATGGTTCCTAAAATAATTGATAATAACTAGTGATGTACACATTTATCATAGTAAATACCCGCTTAATATTTTGGTAACCCGCGGCTTGAAATGCTACTCCTACCACAAATGCCGAGATTTCTGGACACTCGCTCCGTTGTCCGCCAAGACATAGTCAGTCTGTTCCAGACACCTATACCTTTACACGCACTTTGCTTTTGCTCTCTCCTTGTTTTCACAGTCCTTACTCAACAGTTTTTACAATTTTTTCAAGTGTTTAAACACTATATTCTTTTCGTTTGTTTTCATTTCAAACATTTTAAACATGTTTAAATGCGTACAGTGTCCGTCGGTTTTCGTCGTGAAACGTAATTTGATTAGACATGAAAAAACGCATACAGGTATGCGTTTTCCATGTACTGCTTGTCCATCGACATTCTCGTACAAAAACAACCTCAACAAACATCTGAAGAACATTCATGGTATGTACTAAAAATATAAAGTTTTTTTTATACAATATTAATTTATATTATTTTTCCTAAGGTATAGTAAACGTTCCGGCTCACTTGAGGCTTATACCTGCTGCCTCGATCACCACTCAACCAGCACGATCGAGCGTGATTCAATTTGCTCCAGCTCAAGTCCAGATTGCACCTCAAATATTTGTTCCTGATGTCCCGGCCGGTGGATCGAACATGTTAACCGAAGACGAAATGTGTATGGAAGCCATGGACGAATTTGAGGATACAGGTTAGTTTTATTTTATTAGAATTAATTAAATTTTTAAAAGACCGAATGATTTTAAACATCTTAAATTATTTAAACGAATAGGTACGTTACATTATTTTAAAAGACGCTTCTATATCATTAGATTTATCACAAGTTACCGTACAACACTCAATGTTTATCAAATACTTAGATTTATTTTAATATTCGATCATTAGGTTTTTTAAATTACCTATCGCGAATTATTTGCATGATGACGATAAATATAGTAATATGAATTATTTATCAATAATTACTTAGATTTTTTTTTAAGATGTAGCTATATCTTCAGATTTTTAAATTTTAAAAAGACAGATATTATTTTATAAGCTGCATATATTTTATTTCTCAGTCGCAGGTTGATTAGATTTTTATTAGATTTATTTATTAGATATTGATATTAGGTATTTTTTATTTTTAAAGATTCTTACACCGTTGCCTTTAACGGGAAACGTGTTTCGACTGCCAACACCACCTTAGCTGCTAGGGCAAAAAAGACGCGTATGGATATGGTGAAGGTCCCCGGGTTCGTAGAAATTTTGTCGTCTGCGAGCCGTAAAATCGTGTGGTACTATGCAAAAAATTTTTTTTTTTTTTTTTTTCGTGGTATCGAGAACCAGAGGGGGGACCGCGTTAGCATTACTTCCCCTCTGGCCAAACTTCCCCTCTGGCCAACTATGCAAAAAAAAATATCGGCAATACAATGATTTATTCCGACTTTCTTCGACCCCTCATGCCTGAACTAATAAATTTATTAAAGACCTCCGTAAAAACACGCAATAAAATTTAACCTTAAACTCGAGGCGACATACAACCGGCCGAACGTCCCCAATTCGTCGGAGAACCGGGCATTTAAGACAGTGGCAGTAGAAATTTACCCTGACAGCGATTTTAGAACTATTGTAGAGAGGGCGTACATGAAGTTGGTTCAGGAGAAAGACGATTACATCGGTAGAGGAAGTGGTTTCGTCCTAGAGTCGATAGACGGACTATTAGTAGGGGTGTATAAATATATGCCGATGGGTGGATCGTCATATATTCAGCTGCCGGAATATATCGACAGGAAGCGGGCCACCATCAACCCACAAAATATAGACCAGGAGTGCTTTAAGTGGGCAATTTTAGCGAGACATGTTACGGGGCCGTCGGCATTTCGTGTGGAGGGGGATAAATATAGTCAGCATGAGGGCAAGTACGATTTTAACGGCCTCACCTTCCCGACACCACTATCGGACATCACCAAATTCGAAAAAAACAATTCCAGCGTCTCCGTTAACGTCTATGGTATAGATAAAAAGTTTCAACCACCTCGTAAGTACCCAACGTACGAAGTGTATCCGCTGAGTGTGGTCGACGAAGAAAAACCAAACCACTTCGACCTGCTATTGGTGACGGACGGCGACAATGTACATTATACTTATATCTCAATTTTTTCCCGGCTCATACGTGCGCAGAAAACTAGACACAATGGGGGTGTCATTGTTTGTAAAAGGTGCTTCACGTCATTCGACAATCAAAATTGTAAATACAAGCTGAGCGGACAGGAGGCCCTGGACCAACACAAATTGATTTGCGGGGCGCACAAACCAATTTTACCCGAGATGCCGAAGGAGGGTGATTGTGTTGAGTTCAGGGCGTGGAAAAAAACGGTTAGGCACCCGTTTGTTATATACGCAGATTTTGAGTCATTGCTGGTGAAGACGGAGGAAAAGAGGGGCGATAGTACCACAGTTATGCAGAAACACGAAGCTATGAGCTACGGGTTTTTGGTGAAGGCGAGCGATGACGTACCGGCGGAATTATTGGCGGAGTACGAGATACCGGCGGGGCCGGTAATCTATAGAGGCAGCGAAGACAGGACGGATGTGGCGAAACATTTTGTGGAGACGATAGTTGAGGTGGCCATGAAAATCGAAAATCTGATGAAGACGAATACCCCCATAATCATAAGCGAGGACGAAGAAAAAACACATCAAGAGTGTATAGAGTGTAACTTATGCAAATGCATATTAGTCGGGGGCGATAAGGTTAGGGATCATGATCATTTAACGGACAAATTTAGGCAGACCTTGTGCTCTAGGTGTAACTTAGAGTTGCAACAGCCTAAATTTGTCCCTGTCTTTTTTCATAATCTCACAAACTACGACTCGCACTTCATAATCACTGAACTTGGGTATGATACTCAAACTATCAACGTTATACCGAACAGTGAGGAGAAATTTATATATTTCTCGAAATATATAAGTAGTACCTTCACTGTTCGGTTTATCGACACGTTCAGGTTTATGGCGTCGAGTCTGTCGTCCCTGGCCGAAAATTTAGTTACACCCGAACATGAGAACTTCCGTGAGACAGCCAAACATTTTGTCGTAGGAGATATGCCGCTCGTGACTCGTAAGGGGGTGTACCCGTACGAGTACACGGATAGTTGGGAGCGGCTGGAGGAGACGAGGTTACCGAGGAAGAGAGAATTTTATAGTACATTGACAGAGACCGGGATTAAGGAGGAGTTTGAACACGCGAAGGAGGTCTGGGACCACTTCGGCTGTACGACGTTGGGGAAGTACAGCGATCTATATCTTAAAATCGACGTGTTGTTGTTGGCGGACGTTTTTGAAAACTTCCGCGACGTGTACATGTGCATAATCTCATTATTTCACCGCCCCAGGCTTAAGTTTCGATGCGATGCTTAAGTTCACGGGGCAAAAGCTGCAGTTATTGCATGATTAAGACATGTTGTTGATGTTCGAGAATGGTCAGTATATTATTTTTTTAAAAATTAATATATAATAATCTTATATTTTTTTTATAGGTATACGTGGAGGATTGGTGCAGGCAAGTAAGAGGTACGCGAAGGCTAATAATGACAAGACCCCGGATTATGACGAGACAAAAGATAAATCATGGATAATATATCAGGACTGTAAGTATATTTTTTCAAAACGTATTATTATATATCATACTTATTATTTTTTATAGGTAACAACTTGTACGGATGGGCTATGTCACAGTACATGCCGTACGGTAGGTTCAACTGGGTTGAACCTACATTGAATGGATTGAACGATTTGGATGACACCTCCCCCATAGGACGAGTGTATGAGGTGGACGTGATGTACCCACGACACCTACACAACGAACATAACGACCTGCCTTTCCTGCCACAAAATAGTGTGCCTCGAGGCTCGAAGGTTAGGAAGTTTATGGCCACGTTTGAGCAAAAGGAGAATTATATTATACATTATCGAAACCTGCAGCAGGCGATTAAGAATGGATTAATAGTAGAAAAAGTAAATATTTGTAATTTATATCTTTTTAATCAGATTTTTAACATTTTTCTTATTTTTACAGGTACATAGGGTTATTCAATTTAACCAGTCAGATTGGCTGCCTAAATATATTAAGTTGAATACAGAGATGAGGAAGAAGGCTAAGAACGAATTCGAGAAAGACTTTTTTAAGCTGATGAACAACGCTGTATTTGGTATGTTACTTTATTTATACTACTTAAACATTTTTACCGACATTTTAATTTTCTAGGGAAGACTATGCAATCGAAGAGGAAGGAGATGAAGATGGAGTTGGTGTCATGTGAAAGGAGATTACAGAAATTGATAAATAAGAGTACATTTAAACACTGTACTACTTATAATGAGAACCTGAACGCGTTCGCACTGGAGAACAAAATTATTAAATTTGATAAACCTATATATATTGGTAAATATACTTTTTTAAATTGCACTTTTATCATACATTTATTAACACATTTATTATTTACAGGATTCGCTGTACTAGATATTTAAAAAACAATGATGTATGATTATCACTATAATGTTATGCAGAGACATTATGGAGACAAAATTAAATTGATGTACACTGACACAGGTAAATATACTAAAACTATTCTCCTGTATATAATATATTAATTTAACATTATTTTTCCAGATTCATTTATATATTATATTGAAACCCAAGATTTTTATGTAGACTTGGCTGCTAATTCTAATCTACTGGACCGGATGGACACTGCTAACTTGCCCACTGGCCATCCGTGTTATGTGGCAAGCAGAAAGAAGGAGCCGGGACTCTTTTCCGATGAGGTGGACTCTAATATTATTACAGAGTTTGTTGCGTTGAGGGCCAAGTCATACGCGTTCAATGTATATGCTGGACCAGAAGACAGAGTAGGAGGAGGAGGAGGAGGAGGAGGAGAGAAAATTAAAGCGAAGGGTATCAGGTCTCATGTGGTTAAAAACCACATTACATTGGAAGATCATAGGAAGTGTTTGTTTGGGGAATAAGGATTAGAGGCGTACAAGGAGAATGTTTCATTACGGTCATTCAATCATCAACTGGTTACGTTAAAAACAAAGAAATTGACATACAACAGCTACGATAACAAGAGGGTGGTACTAGAAGATAAAGTCCACACACTAGCCCATGGTCATTATAGTATAGAGTAATTTATTACAAAATATATATATATTTAAATTATTTTACTAATATTTTCTCTTAATTTTACAGGGGAGATGATATATGGCCAGAACTTGAGGAAGATGGAGGGAACTGGAACGAAGAAGAGAAAGGATTAATGAGAGGCCTTCTACATTACATAACCTGATTTTATATATTTTCTGTTAATTAGTCTTATTGTAAATATTACCATGTTATATATATTGTAAATATTATCATGTTATATAATTATATTTGAGATAGATTAATGTATATACTTTTGTAAATGCAACACATTCAAATGAAATTATTGTAAATAATATGTATGTTTTAAGTTAGAATAGTATATTTCTTGTATATATTTTTGTAAACGCATCACATAAAATTGAAATTATTGTAAATAATATGTATGTTTTATTAGTTTTAAGTTAGATTAGTATATTTCATGTATATATATATATATATTTGTAAGTTTTTTTATGTTTATAATGTATAATTGGTAGATATTTAAGTTTTTTATGTTTATAATGTATAATTGGTAGATATTTAAGTTTTTTTATGTGTATTATGTATAATTGGTAGATATTTAAGTTTTTTCATGTTTATAATCATGTTTTTCTGTTTCAGGTAGATGGATGACAATATTAGTATAATTAAAAAACCTTGTAAATGCAAACATAAATATGTTAACATATAAATTTAAAAAAAAACAATGTTAAAATATAATTATGTTTATTAAATAAAATGTATACAATCATATTTTTAAGAATTATTTATAAACCATTTCCTTATAGCAAATACTTTATAGAATGTACATTGTTTTGGATTAAATTCCATATGAAAAATACAGCAAGGTAGAGTTTCATCATCACATATTTGGTCCAAACGTGGGCATCCAAGGTCTTCGATGTTGATTAGTGCGACTTGAGGTATAAATTCTGTAAGCAGCTGTTTTTTCTGCTCACCTTTGACGTAAATGCATGAGAACTTTAAAGAGTTCAATATTCTACTTAGTTCTTCATACTCAACATCACCATATTCTATAGTAAGTTTATGATAGTAATGTTCCAACCACTTATTAGTTTTTCGACTCTTGTTGTCTTGTTTAGATTTAGAACTTTTAAAAATCCAGTGTTGGTTGGCCCATGTTTCAGTGTCGACTATAGATAATTCTTTAATAAAATATTTATTGCCTGCTCCAAGAACGCATTGCATGTCTGCGATGGCCGACGACATAATTTCAGGTTTATATATCTGGCAAAAGACTACCAAACACGATGGTGTATACAGCTCGACTGAAATTATTTTTCAATACCGCATGACTCTAACCAACTATTTTATTTTGTGTAAAATCAAGTTTTCGTAATATTTTTGCCTTCCAGGATTAACAAACGAAATTTAATTCTGAAATATATGTTCCGTGATTCGGCAATGAATTTTCATCAAATATTCCGGTTATACGATTTATTTCAGCTTTTAATTGGATCACGTCTTGCCCCCGGATAGCGATCGTTGTACTGTTGTCAGCACAGTCATTAAATAGCTGCGACATACGATTTTCACAATTTAATAAAGACTTATTACTTGATTGTATATTATTTTCAAGCAATTGTATCTTATCACGTAGATTAACAATATTACTTTTCAGAGTGTCAATTTCTTTTTGTTGAAGTTTCACATCGTTTACAATTGTTTTGTTACTTGATTGAATATCTGATATAATTCTTTTAGCATCGCTCGCCTGAGAACTACCGAACACGTTCATAGTTATAAAACGACTGACACTATTTTTTGACATCACGTGTATTTATCCAACTATTGTGGGTATTATCGAATCCTAACCACTTGACGTACATTTGATTCTGTTTTTTACGTATAATTTTTTCAATTAAATATTCGTTTGGGAAATTGGTCTTGTATATTTCTTCAGAGTAAAAACAACCAACTATAGGTTTACCCATATAATCTTGTAGTTGATAAGTAACGGGTAATGTTTTATTTATTTTGATAATCTCGAATATTTCCGTAGACCAGTTTGGTAAATAACCTTTTGTGAACACGCCCTTTTGTGTACTGATACGAACGTTATCGCCAACTTTAAACTTATTTTTTACTGTATTAATTTCACGATGTTTTATTACCACCGAAGCGGGGTTGGAATCTGCTTGTATTGGAGTCATTCCTATAGTTCTATGGTATGAATTATTGTATTCGTCAAGAAATTTTGGTAAAATTGAAACCCATTCGTGAGAGCCACGGGCAGTGAACTCCTTATACATTTTTCCCTTCAAAGTTCAAAGTACGATTGAACCTCTCTGCTATGCTGGCCTTTAGAATACTGAAAGTTGAATATTTGTGTATGCCATACTTGGTCATCAAAGCGTCGAAAGTGGTGTTGTAAAATTCTTTTCCGTTATCGAGTTGTAAAAGTTTCGGTGAACGATCAAGTAATATTGTAGACATTGCACTAGTAACTTCTTTACCTGTCTTAGACTTTAACGGTTTCGCCCAAGAAAACTTTGTAAAACAATCAATCACAACCAGGATGTATTTGTAACCACCATTTACTTTTGAATATGGTATCATTTCAACCAAGTCGGCTTGCCATAAATCATTTTTTCCATAGACGTTAACTCGACGCCTAGTGAAATTTTTCCTTGCTGGTTTGTGAAGTTCGTTAGCGATTTCCCGTTTAGATATTGGGAATTCGCTTTATTAGTCCAGCCTCGTGTAATTCGTCGAAAATCGAAATTATTTCGTTTGAAACGCTTGTATTGCCAGCTGCTTTTGACGCGAGAAGCAGACGTAATCGGTCGACCAACTCGTTTGGATTATCCCAATACACTAAGTTATTTTTCTGTAATTTCATAGACAGCTCGCCACCCGAGGGGAATAATTTACTAATAATTGTTGAATATTTAGTACCACCCTTTTTTATTTTATTCCCAACTGTAGATAAATGTACCGATGTTTGAGTTAATATAGATTTATATACCTCTAAATCACCATCAGTAAAAATAGGTGGATTTTTTAAAAATAATAACTGATTAAGACCCGACGTAGATGGGTAAACAGTACCGTCAATAAGTATAGTGTTTTCTATAAATTTTGCTTCTTTTTTACCCAAGATAATATGGCCGTTTGGAAGTTTTTTCGGACCATAGATTTTATCCAAGTCTGTAGACTGAAACCAATTTTCAATTTCTTGTTGATTGTAGTCTAAAATCGAGGATTTATTGTCAATATTTTCTTTGTTCAATCGAGGTTTATTCGATATTTTAGTTAAAGGATCGATAATTGGTTTTAATGTCTGTGTCATTAATTGTTGAACATTATCAGAACCGGTTTTTAATGCGATATATTTACGTTTAATACTTTCCTTAGCTTTAACTAGCTCATCTAACACAGTAGTTGCTTCCGTCATGACTACGTTTTAAATGATAATATTTATTAGTTGCTTCATCTTATATAACTACAAAAGTATCAAACCCAAAACGATAACGTCCGTTATCACGCTCACTATCTTTGCAAATAACAACAAATGTAAACCTCTCAAGGTTCCAACATGTTACACAGAAATGTTTAAATTGTGTATATGACATGTCCCCAGAACAGTGGGCTGGGCTCAGTTCTCCTACAACCAATAAGAACGGACTATCCCAATGTTACCAACTATGGAAAATCAAAATCTGAATACCGACTAACATTTTATCAGAAAATGATAAGCGGAAAATAAACAGGAGAAGGATTTTATTTTTATTTTTGAATTAACCATAGACATATAAATTACAAACTATGTCTTATTAAAATCAACATAATCAGCATTCAGAATATACTTTAATACTATATAGAAGAAAATAATATAAATATATTATAATTATACAAATATCTATTGTGCTAAACCTAAAAATAGAACGGGGATTTAAATGAAAATTAAATTTTCTTCTCAGTTGTTTAAAAACTAAGATTCAAACAAATTCGTTTCAAACATAAATATTCAACAATTATAAACGGTTAAATATTCCAAAGGACCTAATTATCAACAAATTTAGTATGACAAATATGGAATATTGGTTTACAAATATTGACAAGTTCAAAACTGACATAAAAATTCATTCAAAATACAATAAATTACTTATTAGTTATTAGTATGTAAAATGTATATGTAATATGCATAATATAATAATATTGTAAAATTGTTAAATATATTTATAAAGGATTTTGAGCCATTTAATAATACAAGCCCTATGAGGCAAAAAAAAAAATGCATTATAGTTGATGCTTAATCTATACTTATGACTCAAATGCGAGATTCATAAACAAGACATTGGCTTAATAAAAGAAAAAGTAT